TATATTATGTATATATATATATATATATATACATGTATGTATATACACACGCATTGATGATTTGATTGATATATTGATGATATATGATAGATTATTGATGATATATGGATATATGTGCATATACATATATGCATATATTATGTGCGCATGCACGTGTATATATACATATAGTATCTGTTATTAAAGTCATTAGTTTTATATATATTTAATTTCTGAATGAGAGAGAGAGAGAGAGGAATAATACATAAATGGAAAATTTATATAAAAAAACTTGGGTGTACAAATGCTCATATGAGAGATTTTACAAGGTTGAGGGACTAGAAAGGTATAATATTGTTCATTTATATATGTTAGATTTTGCGCAATGTTCTTGAATGTTCTTGTTAAAATCGACTTCTAATCATTATTAGTTAATGACATTCTGGCTTCTGATAGAAAATAAATAAAATAAAGTCCTCGTATAAATTTAATACTCTCTTATCCTTCTTCATTCCGTTATTCCTTCAATTATTTCGTTCGCTAAAGTTCCATCTGGACTCCAACCAGATTCATCAACAGATGCAACAGGCACGCTCGGCTGACTGCTACCCCATGCAAAATAATAACTTGCGACAAACGCCCATGTCAATATGTAGAGCACCTGGGTGTGGTAATTTCTATTGTTAATATATGTAATTAATGTGTTATTTTTATATTTATTTACATATATAACACACATATTAAAGATTATATATGTATATTTCCCTGCTTCAAGTCTTTCGGATAATTCAATAAAGACAGTTTATGTGGACAAAACTCGAATTATAGCATCGCAGAAATTAATTTACCTTAGCTGTGACTGTATTCATATTGTTTCAATAATTATACATTTCGATTGAAAGCTAATGCTATAAAACTACAAAAAACTATGCATATCTTCTTTTTTAGTTTGCTCAAAGCAATATACATTTGTTACCATGACAGGCATTCAAGCCGAAATTCGAGTATTCGATATTCAAGACAAAAGAATGTGAAAAGGGGGAGGAAAAAAAAGAACCAAAACTAAAAAAAAAATTATAAAAACAAAAATGGCAAATTTTGAAAACGGAACTATAAACTTTAATTCGAGCGTTCGTGAATCCTGCATTAGACCGTAAGCAAATCAACCAATTACAGTCAAGCATTCTCGTAATAAGGATTTCGCATTACAGATTACGGTTACAATGGCCATTGGCCGCGTTCAGCAGAGAAAACCGCTTAGTAGCAATCGAATGTGATTGGTTCTTACTTTTAGAACCAACGAATCAACGTCGAGTGCGTCGTCGGCATATTCGTTCGTGAAAGAGTGTATCGTGTGACACAACTATAAAGAGCTCGTCATTTTTTTTTGGACATTTCGATGTCCTTTTTTTATGCGATGTGACTTGCGACGATATAGGTTAGGTTTTATTGTCTTGTGACGTTTTCGCTTCTGGCCTCCTCGCGCGTTTGACGTTTTGTCATCTCTCAATCAAGACCAACTGTCAACATGCTGTCGCGCAAAAACAAAGATCTGCGGACAATCAAGGAAGGAGTGGTCGGCAAATACGTGAAGAAAGAAACACCACCTGAAATGCCAAGTAGGTATCTTGCAACGTCTTCCTTTATTCTTTCTCTTCTCTCTCCCCGAGCGTTTGTCATTCGTGAAAATTTTCATTTCGTTTACATTATCCTAAGAAAAGAGAATTTATCACGTTCCCATAAATTCCGATTCTGCGCATGCATATCTTTTCGTTTGTATCATCCTATTCAAACTAAGAAAATACAATTTATAACATTTCCATAAAAGTTATAAATTGCGATTGAATGCACATATATATATATATATATATATATA